GGTATCAATTTCAGGCATATCAGATGGTGTCTAAGCAAATAGGTCAACATTGTCCCTCAAAAGTTGAATTAACTAGTTCTTGTGCTAAAGTTTACTTTTAATCTGCATGTGTTTTTCAAGGATGCTATCCCAAAATGGTATGGCCACGAGATTCTCAATCAATTCAGGTTGGTTTTCATCCGGGTCTAATTTTTGGTCAATTATCTCTTTTTGTTTGGTTAGGTCAAGACCATTTTTTGTAAAAATAGATCCTGAAGTGGTGATCAATATGTTATTAATAACTTGTTAAATACATAATGAAATTTAGAATGTATTTTTCACTGTAAGTTATATTTTGGCTAGCGTATTAGCTTGATCCAAATGACATGCAATTGTTCACGCTAGCTTAAAAGCTTGGTCATTTTTAGAGTTACTTCAAAAATTAAAAAAAAAAATGAGATGAAAGATATCTTTTGTTGGAGTTTAAGAGCTCAGAATAGCTTAAGAGCATGCTTCCGTTGGTTCGGTCTTATGTTGTATGTTCTTACTTGTGATTTTTTGCTTTTTATTGATTTTCGTTGTTTGCCCTTCTTCAGTGCATTTGGTCTCGATCAAACTGTAAATCTATTTCCTAGTCTTCCTATCATTATTGTGACATAACACTATTGTGCCATAGATTGGTCTCTCTTAATTTTTCTAACCCCGTAGGCTGTTGAAAATTTCACCTTCAGATGGGGAACTGAGCCTATGAGTCAGATAATAGATTGGCTAAGTCAACCCAGTATCATGTTGTAGGCTAATGGGACGTCTACAACCATAAATTCTATGACCAAGGTGACAGTCCTCGATTTTAACTGAATTGTTTCTTTCATTAGCATCTGCTCATTTTCAAATCTCACTAGTGTTATGGCGATTGGCTACAACTAATCTTCACCAATTGTCATTTTTTTCATGTTGCATAATACATGACGTTGGTCGAGCTTTCATTATCAGATAAGATTATCTTTACTACAAAATTGTACACTACGATTTTGATTACTGCAGCATTATCATGTAAGTGTTGGATTCCTTCCAAATCTTCTTGGTTGAATGTGATAAGTTCATCTTTTTAGTCTTTTTTTTTATCGAGGTGTCTACAGCCATAATCATGTCTGGTTGAACTTTCTTTTGGCTGAGGTAGAGCTGCCCCCAATGATCACATTAACCATTCCAGCGATCACCCTATTGTTATCAGTTCGAACTTTTTTTTGTCTCAACTCATCTCCTTAGACTTCTCTTTTTTTCTAGCTTTTTTTCTCTGCCTCGGTTGAGTTTTCTTCGGTCTTGTCTATAGTTTATTTTGGGTTGGCCTTATCTTTGCTATTCTACAAACCTTTTCAACTAACCTCTTCTTATCAAAGCTTGGATTTCATTTTTCAGGTTGGTGCAATCTTTAGTATTCAGCCATCTAAGGTTAAGATTTTTTTCAATTTGCATCGGAATCCTCTCTCAAGAGGTATTTAATGTAGTATAGTTTATTTTTTCATTGGAGCTTCTAGCCCTATGTCATATCTTTGTTAGGGAAAGATCGTAGAAATCCTTGCTTTTCTTATGACCAAAAAGAGGGGTAAGCTTATCTTACCTCAATTGTCAAAGAGAGGGGATGAACCTCTCTCACCTTGATTGTTTCTCATTGTAGCTTTAGCATTTATATATTTTTCAACTATCAGTAAAATGTCAACTAGAGTTTTAGGTGGTTCAAGTGACAAGGTTAACTTCAGGTGATACTTTTTGTTATTGAGTCCACTTGTCAAGGTGGCTACAATAGCCGTTTGCTCTAGGTCTTTAACCTACAAAGCTTTCGCATTAAAAGGTGTAACATAGCTCTTCAAAGATTCATTGTGACCTTGGTGAATTAACATCAAACTCATAATTGTCTTCTTTGTTCTCTAACTACTTATAAATCGAGATAAAAAATAGTAGTTGAGCTCTTTGAACATTGTAATTGACCTCATTCTAGGCTGTTGTTCCAGGATTAAGCTATGCCTTTTAGAGTGGTAGCAAGGCCTTTACATATTAAAACTTCGTTTGCACCCTTCATCATCATGTTAGACCTATAAAGTTTCAAATGATTTAAAGGGTTAGAAGTACCATTGTATGTTTCTAAGGTCGGCATTTTGAATCTTTTAAGAGGCATGACTCTATCGATTTCTTCAATGAAAGGTGATATCTCTAAGAACTTAAGCTCGTCCTCAAATGCCACTGTTTTCTTTTTTAACTAGTTTTTCATGGCTTGCATCTGAGCTTCTAAGTCTTTGTTCAGTTAGGGTTTAGGGTTTGTCTGTTTGAATTTTTGGGTTGTGGCTTGTGTCAAGTTGTGGCTAGGCTATTGGCAAACTGGGTGTTATGCTCCTATTCTCTAAAGGTCGCAGAGGCTTCCATCTTTTCATAACTTGATTGTCTTAGTGCGGCTTCTTAGCCAAGGGTAATTAAGTCGGGCACTTTCAAAGCTTGTGATGTGGTTATGGTTTGTAACATCTATTTAAAGGCTTGGATCTGTTCAGTTAAAGCCTAAAATTGTTCCATGGTCAAACCTGTCTATAATGGGGTAGGTCTTTCTGAATGTTGGCTATTATGCATTTCTATTCTGATCGAGATGGTTGTCTTTCCTTCCTTAAAAGATTCTCTTCCTTGGTAGCATCATTCCGTGCTTGGCAAGTGAGTGGAAAAAAAGGCTCCTACTTGGCATGCCAAATGTGTCGAGCTCTGATTTTAAGATATTCTTGAAAAGATAAAAGAGAAAGACGGTTAGAGGTAAAGGTATGAAATGTTCCCTACGTTTGCACTCTGACACACAAATCAGAATAAGTAAGATTGGAATGAGAGTAGTAAGGTGAATTAGGGGTAGAATAAACTTACCTTCATGGTGCCTAAACCTTTATATATATAGATAAGTAATGGAGGACCATTAGGAGATAATAAGGATATGATATGAGCTAATGTGTTACTAAATATGTTTGACCAACTTGATATATCAAGTTGGCACAAATATCGAAATTACCCATGGTTGTCTCTTGAAAACTTCTAATATATGTAAAAAGATCACTAAGTCCTTTTGACCACCAAATACCCTCAACAATTATCTATCATATTTTAAATTATTAGTCTAATTTTATCCGAGCTTCACTTAGATTAAATCCTTTGACCATCAAACTTTTTCCATAGCGCTCCAATTGGTGACTTGGTCGGTTTTACATGAATTGAATTAATGAATGATGAGTCTATTTAACCGGCAGTACTCAAGTGGGTTGAGAAACACAGAATCTACCCAGAAACAATTTCCCCCAAAGCCGAAAATAGATAAACCTTGAAAGAACAGATTATGCAGCTATGAACAGTTTGAGACCCTTCTTGCATGAAATAAAAGGTCAGCAAAGGCAATTTGTTAGGCCTGGTTCTGCATTGTAATATTTGATGAGATTTGTAAGATGAGACTGAAAACGTGGTGAAATTGAAAACAAAGATTGAAGGTGGAATAGTAGCTGCAAGATGGAAAATTGCTATTATCCAGGAGGTGTAGATGTTTGGTGAGATGATAAATTGATTATTACGGAGATATTGCTAATGATTTATCTAATTAATATCACACTTTATTTAACAATTGAAATTATTATTCACAATAATAATTTAGTAAAATTAAATAAACATATTTATATATTTTGTTTTTTCTTAATCAATATTTCATTGTCTTTTACTAGTTAGACTTTTAATATTTTTTCTTTTTTTTTTTTCAATATTCTAATCTTTTTCTACAATTAACAGTCTTATTTTTATTTTTTTCTAAATTTAATACTAATTTTGTAAGGATAGTTTTAGCAATTTCAGTTAAAGAGGTGATAATGAATTTATTATTACGATTAATGCATAATATCTAATTTTCTTCTAAATCGATTAATTCAAATAAAATTCTATCAACTCTTCATCATATTTTTTAAATTGTTTTTATAATTTTATATAAATTTAATATAACTTTTAATATATTTAACTAAATTTATATATAAAAAATTATTTTTATTTTATAAAAATTTAAAATAGATTAAAACTAATAAAAATATATATCAAATATTTTTGGTTTTATCACTTCTTATCCAAATATCTATCCAAACCTATAAAATATTTAATATTCAAATTTAGATCGAACCTAACCCATTTCAAATGGAGTTTTCTTTTTTTTCTTTTTTTCGTCGTCCCTAATTTCAATTCCAGTAACATGCAAAATATGATTAGCACAGCTCTCATATCCATCTTCAAACTTCCAAAGTCCAACCAAGCTCTGGAGAATCATAGCTTTGTCCCCTTAGTTCTGACTTTGATGGCAAACATTCCCAACTTTACTTTTTACATGTTAAAGCTCACCTGGCCTAGAATGTTCCTCCCATACTATTATTGCCTTCTCAAAAACAGTAGAAGTGGGAATTGATAACAGATTAACTTCAAACAAGGATTGCTGCAGTTTTCGAACATACACAAAAAGGTATAAGAACTAAGAATAAAGTAAAAAGTTTGGATCAATGTTCTTAATTTCGTTTGGTATTAGTTAAATAATCCTTAAAAGTTTATTTTTCCATTTTTACTGCAATTTGTTTTCTATTTTGTTTTATTTTTTTCAAACAAAAATTTATAAATATTTTAATTTCTTTCAAGAAAGAGCTTATGCCCTCTCTCTAAAGTTAACAATCTTAAAATCAAAATTAATTTCTTTTTCATCTCTTTATTTATATGTTAATATATTTTTACATAAAAAAATACTTATTTAAATGTTATATGATCAAAATAACTATTTAAAAATATAATGATAAATTAATGATATTATTTTTAAAATTTTTATTCTTATTTATTTAATTATTACAAATATTATATATTCACTTTACAAATTATTAATAATATCATTATGTTTAAATCCATATATATTTATAAATATATATGTATTAAATAAAAAATTTTAAAATATTATTCGAAAATAATCATACTGACATATACATTTTCTTTTTAAGAAAATCGAAAGATTAACAAAATTTAGACGCTATATATGGTTGTCATATATTCTTTGGGGACATCAAACATCATCCAGCAGCAGACTGGAAAAAGGATCATTCGCCTCCCTAATATACGTTGCTTCCGAAAGCGGAAAAAGAAACCAAGGAAAAAAAGAGTTAACTTCCAATGCAAACATAATTAACTAAATGATATCTTGAAACTGTACTCCCGAAAGAGCCCACAATTGCCCATACCAAGACTAGGCAGAATGTTAAGATGGCTAAGAATTCCATCCTTAAAACATGTGTTGTCAGAACTAAGATGGCTTTCTTGGCAAGATGGATCCCCATGAATTTCTTTTGTGGGCCAAAAGAAGAGGAAAAAAAAATAAAAAAGATAACGGTTATAAAAATATACAAAAATAGTTGTGAAACAAGTGAATCAGACAGATTACAAACAGAAAGAATTTGTCGTACCGTACAATCAAACTTAGCAAGAAAACTTTTAACGATTGCTATTTAGATTGATTTCTATAAGTTCCTCAATAGGTTGACGGCATATGGGACATTTATTTGACTGAAGCCTCAATGCTTTAGCACATTCGCTGCACATACACTGAAAGATACAAAACATCTAACTTGAGAATGATTTAACCACGTTTGAAATGTATAATTTGAGGGAAAAAAAAAAAAAGTTATCCTAGCGTCTAATCATTCAAAGCTTTAGAAGTTTCCATGGAATACACATTACTCAAGTTTTTTCACCATTGCTAAGCTTGTTATAAAAAAAAAAGCGCAATCCAGCAATAATTTTAGACAGTCTCAATTAGCAACAATAGATAACAAAATTGTCTATTCTAGATTTAAAATCCAGACAACGTCCTATCAACCTTGACAATATTCCTACCAACAAAAAAAGTAACTCCCTGCCAACTTGGCTTTGGTTGTTGGTAAGGCAGGGGTCAAACGAAAGGTAGGTCTCAGGTTTTACTTCTGATATTTTCCTTTAGTACCAATAAAGAAAGTATGTCTGAGCAGGCATTGCAACAGCCAAGTCACAAGAGATAAAGAAAAGAAACAATGCTCCAAGTAACAGGCAAAAGCAGAGTATATTATTCAATCACCAATTATCAGTCTTTCTCATAGCTAGAATGTATATGTGCACCAAGCAGAAATGATGATCATGTTAGAGGATAAGATGGTAGAGTGAGCGCCATGTGGAACCCACTTAATGGCAGAATGATAATCAGATAACGGAACCCACTTAATAACAGAATGGTAATCAGATAAGTAAATTATATGCCTGGTCCAACAACATCCATGTGTGCCAAACACCCATGCTTGAGCCTGCCTCCTTATCATTCTTAATCACACCATTCCACATGAGTTTATAAGCACCAACTTCAAACTAGTATATGACATTGATTATCAGCATGCATTATATTCAAGGAATATGTGAATTCTTACCATGTGGCGGCAAGGTAGGACAGCAGTACACTTAGGTTCAGTCAGGCAGACAACACACTCTTTCCCCGGGTCACTATCGTCAAAGCCTTCTACTGCTGCCAAGCTTCCTATTCCATATATCTCACGTAGTTCATAGCGAACTCCATCGACCCATAATATCTGCCTTATTACTTTCACTTGGAAAGAGTTACCATTGTTATTCTCCAGAATAGCTTGAGTAATTTGCATGTGGTTTGATGTATTTTGTGCAGGATCATCAATATGTTCATTGGATGAATGAGGCGGCATACATGTTTCAGCAGAAATTACAAGAGGGAAAACATCTTCTCCGGGTGATGGTTTTGAGAGATCATCCAATTCAAAGAAACCTAAGTCAATTCCTGTTCCCGAAGGCTGCTGAAATCTCTGGCCAAGTCCCTTCTGAAATGGTACTCTCACAGGCTCATATTCAGGAAATAGCGAAACAAACCTACAGTTTGACTCTTCCTTGGCAAAGTAGAAAATGGTGATACTGTAAATAAGAAAACAACACAATTAGATAAATGTATTTCATGGAGTTTGCATACCTTATCAGACAACTAACAAAGATTAATTATTTCATTAATTGGAAAGCTTTACATCTATTACCCTGGAATAAGTCACTTTCTTGCATAATTTAGTCAACAACTTAGTTCCTCTTATGAAACAAAGAATCATCATTGGGACATCCAAACTAGGATTCTGCAATATTTGGGAGCATAATTGGCTTGAATAAACCAATCCAACTAAAGAATTATTATTATTCCTTCAAAATCAGGATATCCATGTCTACAGCTTTACAAAATTATTTTATATCCAATTTTAAGAAACTTTCTACCATACAACTTTGAGAACCCTTAACCTAAAAAATCTCTATAACGAAGGCTTTTTGGTAGTAACTGAATATTCACATTATAAATCATGCCTCGAAAGCAAGAAAGAACTTTGTAATAAAAAACCAAACGGCATTTATCACAACCCCAAACAAAATAGCAGTGATGAAATCAATATGCCACTCAAACCTCAAAACAACGAATCAAACATGCCTAAAAAAAAGGGAAATGAAGAACTCTTACACATCCATGCAAATTAATGGCAGCTTGGAAAGCTATGAACAAACTTGAATCGATTGGTTGTGACATGTTTGGTTCACAACCTTAAGATATCTTAAAGCATGCCTACCACTACTGTAAAAATCACATCACGTGAACTCCATAAAAACTAATTAAAATAAAAAGAACAGAAGGAAGCAATTAGAGGTACTAAATCTAATTATGTAGGAAATATAAAGTGAATATACATGCAACTAACACGGGTGGAAAGGTTGACAAACAAACAGATGTCCATTTTGGTACAATCCAAAGCTACATGAATGATTTATTTTAAAATATTAAACTATATAACTTCCAAGAAGCAAATTATCAACATCCACTTCTTTATCTAAGTATAGTAAAAACTACTAAAATTAAGATTTTGGAGAACAACTTGCTAATCCCTTGGATTAGCCTTTTATTATGTAGACAATACTGAGGAAAGAGAATCAATTACAAATTACACATTAATGCTTCTAATTAATCCCTCCTAAACTGTCTCCCATGGAATATTCGCATAATATTCCAACTCACACATAGGCATGCACTACCAAAAACTTCAATGTTGAAGAGCAAATTAAAAGGACTTTCTAAAAAGAAAAATGATAACAAAAAACTAATAGCAATAATCAACATAAGAACAAATTCAGATTCCTTTGAATTGTCAGATAAAAATTTCCAAATCTCATTGCCATCATCCTATACCCACCACTTCTTACCAACAATGTTAAGCAAATGATGCAGTTTCCTCAACAGTAGAGGCAGATCTTGACATTTAATTTTGAGGAGCCGAAATAATATTTTACAATAATAAATTATTCAAAATCTATCAAATCTATTAATAATAGAAAACAGATATTTTAGATGAAACAGATAACAACAAAATTTACAATAATAAGTATGCTAATATGTAAATATAAGTATAACAAAATAAATATATTAAAAATTTGATATTACGATTTCACCTTGTAAATCAATAGCAACATTCTGTATAAAAATAAAATCATTATATTTTTTACATTATTAACATATTATCTTATCATATTTAATATTTTAAGTATTAAATTAAAAAAATCATTAAAGTTGTATTTTTAAATAAAAAATATGTTTGAAAACAATAGAGTACAAATTTTGATATGATAGTTAAACCTTCTAATTTTTTACATGGTATTTTTAAATTATAAAAAATGAAAAGATACTTAAACTAATCATGCTATTTATTTTGACATGTAACAATTTTCAAAGAAAAGGAGCACGCATGATATAGTAAGGAAAAAAGTTTGGAAAAAAAAAAAAAAAAAAAGATCTCAATTGGATATTTGTCAATTCAATTTTAGTTATTATGATACATTAATGCTCATATATATGTCAAACTTAAAACTACATGTTTGTGAAAACATAGTGATAACAAACTTATTCATTTTAAATTGAAAATATTTATAGTAAGTAAATCCAAGTTAAAGAATTGTAACATTTAGATAGTTACTATATTTTCAATAGATATATAGAATGAAGAATAACATATATGAACACAATAAATTTAGATTTGAGTGGGCCTAACTAATTTATTTATAAATAAATTTTAAAATTATTGACAAAATAATAATATAAAAAAATTTTTCAAAATTTTTTAGAGGGCCATAGCTCCGCTAGGCTCCCTAGTAGATCCATAATTGCTCAACAGTTCTTATGGACGTGATAAATAGTTGTTTCTAGGAGAGTAAAGAAACTCAAAGATGGGCAAAAGAAGAGATTGAAGACATTTATCTTAACTGTGCCAACATTTGTCAAAATCATTTGAACTTACAAACAGTAGCAGACCATAAGGAGTAGTTCTTCAATAAAAATCTATTTAAGTATAGGTCAGCCAATGGAGGTTACCTAATGTCATTCAGCCTATATGGCACAAACTATGCATGTTAAAAAGTTTGGAACTTTAAGGCTTTGCTTCATAAGGTGGAAAGAAAAATGAAGAAATGAAAAGTTGGAAGAGAAGAAAAGTGAGAAGATAGAAAACATATTTTTTCTTTCCATTGGTGTACTTGATTGGAAAGAAAGTAAAGTTGAAAGAAAATGTAATTTTCCTTCCAGTCATTACTTGGTAGAGTTAAAAATGAAAGGACATGAAGTAAAAATTACATGAATTTACCGTTATAATCTTTTGAAAATTAAGATGAAAAAGAAAATTCTAAATATAATGGACAATTTTGTAAATATGTAATACACGCTCACATCTCTCCCACTTTTTCTCCTTTTTTCTTTCTAATTTTGAGTGATTTGTTTTCGTTAATGAGTGTGAAAATTGATAATCTTTCCTATTTTCTTTCCTCTCCTTTTTCTTTCCTACCAAGCACGCTTACAATCCATTTTCCTTTCATTTTTCCATCCACCCCTTCATCCTTCCACTTTTTAGCTGTACCATGCACAGTCTAAAGGTGTTCTTGGTAGAGTGAAAAAGTAGAAAGATGGACAAGAAAGTGTCTAAAAGTAGAAAGAAAATGAATTTCAAGTATGCTTGGTAGAAAAGAAAAGTGAGAGGAAAGAAAATAGCAAAGTTTACCATTTTACTCACTTATTTTCAAATACAAATCATTCCAAATTGGAAAGAAAAAAGAAGAGAAAATGAGAGAAGTGTAAGTGTTGCATATTTTCACAATTGTCCATCATTTTTAGATTTTTCCTTTATTATCTTAATTTAAAAATGTTATAATGGTAAAATCATATATTTTTCATTTTTTTCTTTTCGTTTTTCAACTCTACCAAGCAATGGTTTGAAAAAATTTACATTTTCTTTCAACTTTTCCGTCTTTCCAACCAAGCACAAGAATGGAAAGAAAAAATTTATTTTCCATCTTCCCACTTTTCTCCTCCTTCAATTTTTATATTTTTCATTTTTCTATCTACCATACCAAGCAAAACCTAACTCATTCGCTTCACAAGGAATGTATTATTCGTTAAAGTTTTCTAGCTGAATAGTGGATCAAAGTGCTATTATAGTATTCACTTGTGAAGTGAATGAGTTAGACTTTACTTGGTATAGTAGATAGAAAAATGAAAAGATGGAAAATTGAAGCATACCCTACATTTCTGTGAAGCATAAAAAGTCAAAGGTGATGGAAAAGGTGAAGTCCGTATCAGAAAGACATGACCTAATACTGTAAGGCTTGAACAGCATCACAGTTATGGCCCCCTGAAAACTAGAATAGCCAATGATGCCCAAGTGGGCTTTGCTTCACACAGGACAAAAATGTGCAAGCTGAACTACAGAGCTCTAGAGCTCTCTCTGTTAACCAAAGCCCCTCAATGCTAAGTTCCCAAGTAAATTCCAAAACCTTTTTATAAACATTTCAATTGCCATTTAAAGGCCTAAGGATGCAGAGAACCTTTGCATCTTCTAAGGGAACTTCAAGAGCAAGCCTTCCAATTCATTTACAATCCACATTCACTAATATAGCCTTAACAGTTCCTAATGCTTATACGGTACTCATAGTTTAATTAGTTAAAGCTAGAAAAGCAGTCACCTAATACACAATTCCCAATTCTAATAAGAAAGATAATTTGCTTGTAAAATGTGGTTTACATCATTCCTCACACTAGATTGAAAGACCTTATAACTCCAATGCTTCTAACTATTGTAATGACTAACTATTGCTCAGCCAAATAGGAAGTTTTAGGATATAGCTTAGTTCATTAAAATTCTTAATCCTTCAGATTTGATCAGTTTAAGGTGTGTTTAGTCCATAAGATTACTATAGGATAGTATAAAATGATATTATGATTAGCATTACATTAAATAATGTTATAATATCTTGTGTTTGATGTACAAAAGGATTAGGATAAGATAATTTATTTATTGGTCAAAATTATCCTTCTTCAAAGTTTATACAATTTAAATTACTGATGTAATTTTTAAAGGTATAATTGGACATGTAAGTTCAATCCAATGGATTAAACTTTGGGTTTAGGATGATTTAATCCTCTCCACTTTGGGAAGATTGAATCATCCTATGCCAAGATGATGATTAATCTTCTTTACAATCCTATCCCTTTCTTTAGATACATACTAAACACAGTATAGGATGATTATCATCCTCTCCTATCAACAGTCCTATGCGTCAAACATAACCTTAAGGCATCACTGCAGAACGCAATGAAGTTAAATGCACAGGCCTAAAATCCATATAACATCCAAAGCCTATTGCATAATCTATTTTTCTATCTTTCTTTAGTATTTAATGACCAAAAAATAGTTTTCATCATTTAAATTTATTTTATCACATAGCTACACCAACTTTGGGTTTGATTTGGATTATTTTTTCTCCATTAGTTATCCAATCATGGTCATCTGGAAAAGTTCAAAATAAAAGACTTTCAATAAAGATTTCAGTTTTCATGTCTTTGAAATTTTTTCATTTAAAAATAAAAATTAAACCTTAAACTAAAACCCCATCTCCAATTTTTCCCCTAAAAAAAGAACTTTAACCAGACCCCAAATTTAATCAACAATAATAATTCTTTTTTATGAAAAAGGGTTTCTTTACCTGCCATCAAACAAGGCATCAAAAACGAAAGAAACCAAGTGATTATCAGGGTTTTGCTCGTCTACTTCGAGCTTCAACGTATCCTTATGCACGTTCACATCATTCCTCACTTTCTTAGCATTCTGGTGCTCCACATAAGCAGGCGGTGGCTGCGGTGGCTGCGGTGGCGGCGCCACAGCATGAGAATGAATCGCGGGCCACCCACTAGTCTGATTGGCGTAATAAGGGTAGGGTTGAATAGGGAAACGACCCATTATGGGGTTTGAGTAACCGCAGTAACTGTTGTGAATTGGAGGCGATGGTCGTGGCGGGTGCGTAGGATAAGGGTTCTGGGGATGCGCAGGATAAGGGTGGCTAGTTGAAGGGGGAGGAGGAGGAAGGGAAGTGGGTTCTTGGGGGTAATAGAGAGGTGGAGGAGGGGGAGGGGCAGGGAGGTGGTTTCTCCTCCTGTTGCTGTTGGTTGTGCTGCTCCATGAGATGCCCATGTTTGGGGGGAGGGAAACTGAAAGAGAAAAAAAGATTGAAGCAAATGGAAAGATGAGTTGTTTTTACATATTTGTGGATGTAAATGACGATAGTCGTTGTTGAAATCTTTGTTTGCGTGTTGATGAACAAAGAATACATTACTCTCTGACTTTTTTATCAATTTGACAAATTTTTTAAATGTTCTAGAATTCAATATCATTACCATGACCAAATCAATTGAGAGTGGGTATAATATTAAATTTAAATTTAAATTTGATTTAAAATTTAATTCAAATAATTTTATTTTTTAAATTTAAATTTAATTTAAAATAAAAATTAAATTATTTAAATTTATTGAGTAAGTTCGATTAATATATAAAAAATAAATTTATATTTAATAAAAATTTGATTATTTATATTTGATTTTGATCTTAAATTTTAGATATTTTATAAATTAAAATATATTAAAATATAAAAATTCGATTAGATTCATAAATTACACGAATCAAATATAAAAATATTCAAATTTAATTAAATCGATGAGTAAAATTATTCAAATTTAAACTCAATTCAATAGTAATTAAATTAAATTTAAATTTTATTCAAATTAAATTTAAATATTTTATAAATACTAATATCTTATTTACATCCGTAAATATTTAACTAAAATAAAAGGTAACAGTTCTATATCAATATATATTGAAAGTTTTACCGCCAAAATTTTTATTTTATTTTTAATTTTCACTTTGTCATTTATTGATTTTTTTAGACTCAAAATATTTTCAAAGACAAATATATATGTATTAATTCACTTATAAGAAATTTTCTAGGGCTAATTATAAAAATAACCTATATTTTTCATTAGTTGGCCACATCATCAATGTTATATCAACATAAAAAAAATTTAATTCAAAAAAAGTTTAAAAAAATAAAATATTCTAAAAATATTTTTTAAATTTAAAAAAAATTTCAATTTTTAAAAATATAAAAAAATATAAAAAAAATTCAAAACAATTTAAAAACAATCTAAAAAATTTTAATAAATTCTAAAAATTCCAAAAAGTTTTAAAAAATTCTAAAAAAATGTTAAAATTTATAGACAATTAAAAATATGAAATATTTTTAAAAATATAAAAATTGTGATAATTTTAAAAATTCAAAAAACTGTAAAAATTTTAATAAAAAATCTAAAAAATTAAAAAAATGAAAATTTTAATAAAAATTAAATTTTCTTAAAATTAAAAAATCGCACAAACTTAAAAAAAAAAATTTTTAAACAAAATATTTTGAAATATTTTGAAATTTTAAAAAATATAAAAATTTTTGACAAAATATGAAATTTTTAAAAAATTCTAAAATTTTTTTAAAAATTTTGAAAATAAAAAATAAAAAAATTAATAAAAATAAAAAAATGATCAAAAAAAATTTTTTTAAATTAAAATTTTAGATTTTTTATTTTAAACATTTTAAACATTTTTAAATTTTTGTATTTTTTTAATTTTAAGAAAATTTTATTTTTATTAAAATCTTCTTTTTTGAAATTTTTGAAAAATTTTGAATTTTTTTAACTTTTGAGATTTTTTTGAAACTTTTTAAGTTTCATTAATGATTTAGAAATTTTTAAAAAATTTTAAAATAGTTACTTAAGTATTATTTTTTTCAATTTAATCACTTAAGTGTAGGGGTAATAGCAGTTTAGTTAAAACTGAATTCAATTTGGTTTTTTTAAATATTGTATAATATTATAAAAATTTAAAATCTCATCTAAATAGAATCTTTTTTCAATATGAACTGAACTGAATTAAATTTTATTGATTTGGGTTAGTTCTATTTGATTTATTATTTTTAATTTTTAATGTAGTATTTTAATATAAAATTGTAATATATTTAAGTAGATTTTGATATAAAATTTTTATTTTTATTTTATAAAAATTTAAAATATATATAAAAATTAAGAAAAATATATAATTTGATTCGGTTTGATTTTTTTTATTTTTCATCTCTTGATCTGAAATTTGATTTGAACCTAATATATACATTTAATATCTAAATTTGATCTGAACTGAATAAAAAAAATGACCCAAACCTAACCAAACACTAAAGTTTCGAATCGATTTTTGATTTTTTTGGTATTTTTTCTCACCCTACTTAAGTATGAGTAAGTTATTATTATTATTTTGTCATTTATTTATTAGAGTCCAAAGATGTGTTAAAATGGCTTGTCAAGTGCAACATGGGAATGCAACATCATCTCACAAGCCACAAAGTATTATTAACATGACATTATAAATTTTGAAAACAATAAATATTTTGGTCATTTAACTCTTTAAAATTTCTATTTTTGTTACTTAACTTTGAAAATTTACAATTTGTTCATTAACGAATATGTCCTCAATTTTTATAAATAATAGAAATCCACATTAATTTGATATTTTTATTGCATAAAATTAAATTATAATTTTTTTATTTTGTTGTAATTATACCTTTTAAATTTAAAAAATGAATGAATATTATCTAATTGTCAAAATTACTAAAATAGCATTACTTCAAATTTTTGTGATTTAGTCCATCCAAATAAATTCAAGTATTTCATATTGCATATGTCAGGATCCTAAATATAATAAAGTTTATATTTTTAATTTCATGCAATAAAATATTAAAATAATATAGATATTATAAATTTATTAGAACCTTAGACATTATGAAATATGAAATTTATTAATATTTTGATTGTTTATGAAATTCATAACCAATGTTTTTTAGAAATTTAACATAATAAATTATTTTATTATTTATATTACCTATTGAAATATATTAGAATAATACTCAAATAAGTCATTGAATTTTATAAAAATAATAGAAATAAACATTTAATATTTTTATCACATGAAATTAAACTATGAATTTTTTTTATTATAATTATACCTTTTAAATTTGAAAATAAGAAGAATATTAATCAATTGTCAAATTACTAAAATATTATTATTTTAAATATTTGTTGTTCAATTAATCCAAATCAATTCAAATAACTATTTTAAAATTTTACATTTTGGTCACTAATGTTTATAAAATTATCAATATTTGGATGTTACTCTCAACGTAACTGTATAACAATTTAAGCACCAATGGTTTGTAAAATTTAATATAATAAATTATTTTATTTTATTTTATTTTGTTACTTATATTTCCTTTAATATTTTATTACATAAAATTACAATTAATTTTTAACATTATGAAATATGAAATACTTACTTTAGTTTTTTTGGATGAGCTAAACGACAAAGATTTGAAGTAACATTATTTTAGTAATTTTTGCAAGTGAGTAATATTATTTTATTTTTCAAATTTAAATGGTATAATTATAATAAAATAAAATTTTATAATTTAATTCTATGTAATAAAAATATCATTTTTATTTTTATTTTTTTACAAAATTTAAGGACTTATTTCTTCTAACTAAATTATAAATTTTTAAAATTAAGTGATCAAAACAAAAAAAAATAAAAAATTGAATAACTGAAATTTATTTTTTAAAAATTATATAATGTCACGAAAATAATTTCACATGATTTGTTAGATGATGTGATAATGTCACTGTAGCACCTAACAATTGATGTGGCAATATCATGTCAATGCACTGTTAATTACTAATAGTGGAATGAAAAAAAAATACTTATTCAAACTTAAGTAATTAAATTAAAAAAAATTAATACTTAAATGACAATCTTAAAAGGATTCATAAATTTAAATGATTATTTGTATATTTTACCTATTTTCTATTCTTTCTAGAGGGGTTGTTTATTCACCACATATAAGATTAATGGTACATTGATGTTTGTATACCAACTCAAATAACTCAAATAATTGAGTTCCATTCTCCTTTTTCTTCTAAAACTAAAAATATGACTATTATCTGATTAAAAATAGTAAATTATTATTTCCATTTGTAGAATGTATGCCGAATTCGAATTTAACTCTTTGAGTAAAAGAATACATACTCCTCAATGAACCCAAATTTAAAAGTGCTATGACTAAATTATTTTTATGTTATTGTCTATGTAAGCATAATTAAAATGTTAATAAAGATCTCATCTTATACTATTCATAATTTCTTGTAGAATTGTATAATCCTACTTTTTACTATAGAATTTTGTACTCTTATAAAGTGATATAAGTAAGGTGGAGTAAAAATTGTATTTATTAATCATACATCTACCAAATTAATCATCTATTCTTTTTGTTTTTTTAGTATAAAGAGAATTGATTATGGAGAGAGAGAGAGAGAGAGAGAGAGAGAGAGAGAGAGAGAGAGGGTGAGAATAAATGCAATTTATATGCATCAAACGGTCCATAGGTGTCCCTACGCCTTTGGTCTAATGCTTTAAGGTTTAGGGGACATCAATGGATTGGTTTCAAATTAGGCTTTTCCCATTCTTCTTATTTGTATTAAAGTTTTGCCCTCTTGATATAATAAAAAAAAATGATCCATAGGTTGATTTTGATTTTACAGAAACATATAATTGCTAATTAATTCTAATGCAAAATATATATCTCTCACAAATTTAGGCTTCATTTTGATATTTACATTTTGTTTTTCAATAAAAAGAAAAAAAAATTAAAAACAAAAAATAAATAACAAAAAAAGAAAAAGCATCAGATGAAACCTCGATTAATTAGTACCATAATTTTGAGATAAGCATGTTTCAATAAAAATCATGACATACTACTAGCGAGAAATGCAATAATTATCCCTACAACACAAGTTGTCATTAATCATTTGTCTCCCCATTCAGGCCGTTCTCTGTCAGTTATTATTTGTCATCATCAGCCCTCTAATGTTATTCTTTCCCACCCAAATAACCACACTGATTATAGCGTATAAACTGGTAATATTCATAATGGTTACCCAAGTTGATAAGAAGAAGAGTTTTTTTTTATCAATCAAGATTTGATATTTACAAAAACCACTTCGGATTTAAAATTTTAAATGCATTAGATTCAGGTTAAGAGAATCTATCCGTCAATCCAAAAACTCATAACAATGCTCTTCCATCGAATTTACTATCACAAAATCCTCAACTACACATCAACTTTAGAATTTTTCTTGATTATTCATATTAATTGTGTGTAGTTAATATGTGAAAAATGAAACATGATAGGAAAAAGAAAAGCAGAAAATGGGGTATATGAAAGGTTCATCATTAATTAATGTGCTTAAGATATGTTTGATGTGTACTATAATAAATAGAATAAAATGATAATTATTTTATATTATATTTGATTTATATTTAAAAAAAAAATAAAATTGTAAGAAAGATTTATTCTCTTGATATAAGATGATTCAATTTTCTTAAAATGGATAATGTTATTTTTAATTTATAAGATTGAATTTATATATCTTATTATACCTATAAAAATTATATCAATAATTTAAATTATCTAAACTTTGAAGAATAATAATTTTGATCAATAAATAAAATTATTTTATTTTAATTTTTGCATATATCAAACATAAAATAAGATGTCATTATTTAATTTAATCTTATTCATAATATTATTTTAATTATCTTATCTTACACCAAATACACCCTTTAAGTTATTAGATAAGCATTGGAAATGGGAAGATGTTAGTTATCAAATTTACCAATCAAAATACACTTCTTTTTCTTATTGTTTTTAGTTGCTGGATAGCCAAGCAAGATCTTTTCATTCTACATTAATGCTCATAAAAAAAATTGTAACAGAAAATATGTTTCGAAATTAGTGTTTAATCTAATTAATTTATATAATCATTTTTAAGAGGTAACATTCAATAAATATAAAGTTTAAATTTTAATATATACAATCCATACCACTTTTTTTGCCAAAAAAAAAAAAAGAGTTTCTGTTCCTAAAATAAGATTACAAAAAGAAGAAACAAGATCATTACTTTCATTCTGTATAATTTTTTTTGTTTCATATCTTGAAACATAACAATAGCATCTTTAATTCTTCAAATAGATCATAATAAAAAAACAACGGAAGGTCAACTAGTGATCATAAGGGTAAGATATAAAAGATCAGTGTAAAACAAACTATAATCTCCATGAACAACAAATGATATTGCAGACTTACAAATGGAAGAGTTAATATTTCAGCAAAAATCAGGCCTAGGTTTCTTGCGAACAGATATGCAGCCTCTCTGATGATCTATGAAAATTCTTATCTCAGAACAATCCCTCAGGTCATCAAGGCTAATATACTGCTGCTTAACCATTCTTGAAGAATCACCCCCAGTGTTATGTACCCAAATGTAAGGATGACAAGTTTCATCATAGTAATAAAGCAAGCTCTTCATTCCTCCACTGCTGTTGCCACTTCTTCCAGGCATATAGGCCTTGTATATGCTCTTGCATTTCAGTCTCTTTGAAGATCTTGGTTTCAACGTGTGAACTTTTTTTAGTATTGATCCTACCCTTACTTGAAGCTCTACTGGCCTGTCACTAAGGTTCCAGACCCTGGTGCCCAATCCTGATGCTTGAGTATGATCACGGCATCCATCAAAGCACCCTCCAAAGTGAAAAATGCCCAACCCTGGCATTTTCCGTTTGAAGGACTCCAAACTTTTGGTCACCTGAGACTTGGAAACTACATGCATTCTTGTTATAGAAGACTATTAAACAAACATTTCTAGTCTATGTTAAAAGGTTATGTATAAAAAGTTCTCAATGTATGAACCTTTTGCTCTTATATCACCGGCTGTTATTATTACTTTGTGACCCACCAAAGGGGATGACATTTTTTTGGTATATAGGAGGCCTGAGGATAAGAAAGGGTTATAAGTATTAAGATTTGAACTTAAGATTTATAAAATATAATTTTTTAATAGCGATAGTATGAACCAACTAAAATACATTTTGGATTTAGGATGATTATTTTTAAGTCTTGATTGCACTCCAAAAGATTCAATCAGTACAAAGAAGAATTTATTCCTTGCCCTCATCTTAAGCCTTTCACTAAAGGAATTAATGGGAATGGCCCCTACAACCCCAAAATTCAACAAAAGTAGACAATGGGGAAAGGTAAAGGTAAGATATGGTAAACTAATAAAAGACCTTACTATTCCACCAACTGGCTTTTCTCTTGTTTGTTTAGGAAAGGTGAAAAAGAAGTTAATGGCACCCACCATGATGAGGTTGGGTATGATGTTGCTTCATCTTTTATCATTGAAGCTGCTTTTGATTTTTTTTTTTCCTGTTCAAGTCTCAAACCAACACTAGCTTTTGTTTTTCTTCCTGGAAATCAGTTCATCCCCCAACCAATTTTAATATATATAGAAATTGCACCATCCAGCTGGACAATTGAAAAAAAAGGGTAACTTGGACCATCTAGTTTGGATATATGAACAGAGACACAGTCTCCAAATTGAGGACTTCAGCTTTTCAGGAATCACGATCTCTTAACATTCTTTCTTTTCATCATGGCCGCGGTAATCACTCACCAACAGTGGAAGCTACTGTTCACCAAATGCTATACCTCCCCAGCCATTCTCGAAGCAAATTGTCAGCTTTTTTATTTTTATTTTTATTTTTTTTCAAATGCACACATGATAATGCAATATGCCTCAGATCTAAGATTCAAAATGTCCTTCCACTTTAATCATTTGAGTTATGTTGAAGAGATATTACCCAATTTTCACTAAGAATTCAAGTTTTGAAATCAGAACATCCACCCTGCTATTTTCTAAGAATAAGGCCTTTTTTATATTAAAAGATCGCTTTCTAAAAATTAAGAAAAGAATTATAAATATTTAAATTTAGATTTATCAAATATTATTTTTTAACAATAATTATATAAATCAATTAAACTAAACTCTAATTTACAAAAATTTTTACGTATGATAAACTAACAAACGAACATTTTGTTAGAAAATTATGTCTAACGCCAGGATGCTAACTTGGGCGGCCACATCAGCATTGTCATGGCTTTCGAATTTATTGAACTTATTTCAAGTGTATCTGCTAAATCAAAAGAGGGGGTGGGGGGGAGGGAAGGTCGTGAAATCAATACAAAAGTCCACCCAAATGGAGTCGTGAGATCAATAGAAAAGTCCACCAAAATGGAGCCACAAACTTTATCCAACTTTTGATATCTCCAACGAGATAGATACAAATCTTCAGACACAATTCACGAGGTCCACAAGCAAAAACGAGTATGACCCACATCCACCTTTGGTTCCTTTGCCGAGTTGGCTAATGTTTTATGCTTTCAATAAGATCCTAAGAACTCAGAATCTCTAAACAGTGAATAATGAACATGTGCATGTGAGCGAGAGAGAAAAGCACTAAATGAGCATAATTAGAGCACTGTAAGAATGAGGGGAAAACAATTATTTCTTTGATTTCAATCAGCAAACTAAACTCCAATGACATATTCTCAATAATATCTCAATTGTATAATCATCTATTTCTATAGAGAACTAAACTTGTTAATAAGGCGATCAGTACAAATCACAAATGAGAAGCACCAAATGCCAAAGCAATGTCTAGCACAGCTTATGAAGAAGGTAGAGGAAGAATTTACAAATGATTTTAGTTCATTTTTCATGTGTTTCGTCAGCAGGGTCTATCTTAATTATAAGAGGCTGATGGAGATCCACAGCTGCTTCACCCACAATGGGCAACTGTGGCGAGCCCACAATGCTATCTACATCCTCATTTTCAGCCAATGCTTTGTCTAGAGCTGATTTGGCAACTTTAGTCACACAAACCATTAAAACCACTGCATAAAAATGAATAATGCCTAAGTCAAAAAGTTGCCAACTGTAAAATCAAGGATTATAATTCAATCATGTAATTGTGGTTTTGTGTAAATTTTAAGTGAAGTAGTTTCTCCACTATCATTTATCCTAGAATTTAAAGCAGTAACAAAATAATGATGACATTATATTTTAACCTGGAATTTATTACATTAAACCCAACTCCACACAAAAGTAAAAACATTATTGAAAAAAGAAAAAGACAAGGTGTTACCAACGGTAGCTCTCAACAGTCAAGGTGATATTATGTGTTTATTGCATCTATGGCTTTAGTGTCAAGGTTGTAATAATTGAAGTTAGCTTGTACCCCAAGTAGGCAAATACACATGTTGAGTGCAAAACATTAATTGAATTTGTCCGCTTGACAACTAAGTCATCTAAAGTTTGAGAGAAAAAGAGAAACTTGCACTAATTTATTTCTATCTTCTTCCGGAATCATTTCCCCGCATAATCACATTACTTAAAAAAATTATAACTTATAAATACTATTTCAAATGGTGAAGGTTTGGTGTTCCCAAACATAGATGTATTGCAAGAAAACAGACACTTCAAAATGAAAAGGAGAGAGGCAAAATATCACTTATTCAGTTGTTTGCATGCATTTACAAATGACTGCAACTTACCAGACACAGCAAGGCCCAAGATGAGAAATGCCTGCACTCATAAAGCAAACATGGGTAAGAATACAAGAAAGAAATTACATGAAGCAAGTAAAGCATCTTTATTGTCCTAATTACAATCACCAAATATAAACGTGAAAATGCACCCAGGTTCATTTCGTGCCTGTCACTGGGAAGAGTTTTATGGAAAAGTAACTAGAAGCAAATAATTGTGTACATTTTCCTGGTCCAAAGGGCCACAAATGAAGCATACCTCAGCAAACCACACATCATCCATTATCATTCAAAATAAAAAAATAATAATAAAAAACAACCAAACATATAAATAATAACATGACTTACCCAACGAGCAGTTGAAAACTCACTCCATCCATGAGTCACATCAGAAAGATCCTTAAGAGTTGTTCCCACATAAACTAAAGCAAGGGTTATAGGCTGTAACAAACACCATTCTCAATGTTAAATCCCAAGTATAAAAGAACCACCGAAAACTGAAACACGTATAAATAGCAAGCTGGAATTATTGGAAAGAATAACTAGAAGGTGATAGTTCAATGGAGATGCAAATACCATCATCCCTAACCAAGAGGCCAGCATGTATTCTCCAATTGGGACAGGGGTCACAGACAACAGATAATTCAACATGTTGAATGGGAGTAAGGGTACAAGTCGAAGCAGCAAAACAATCTGTCCAATAACAGAACAAAATTTAGAAATCTGACAAAAGAGAGTTTTGAGCAATAAATGACCGTACTGCTCACCTTCAGACCAATCTTACTTATCCACTTTTTGAATAAAACATTAATTGATATAAACTAATAAGCAGTGTTGCCAAAGAAACCATCGGGCAAAATTTAAATGTCAATCAGACTAACTTCATTTTTTTTTGGAGGATGTTGCAAGGAATTTCATGTTAGCAAATTAGAATTACCAAACATGCATAGAACCCATATCCAGAATTCAGAAACATACAAAAAGGATTCAATGAACAAAAGCACTTGAATGTAGCATGCGATAGATACCAATGCTTTATCAGAGAACTACTTTTCCTCCAGGACACTTTAAACAATACTTGTGTCAACAATGTCAAATTAGGATTACCAAATATACGTAAGATCTTATCAGAATTCAGAGCCATATAGAAAAGATAAAGCATGACAGAAACATTTTAATCCAACATTGTGATAGGTATCGATAAAGAAAATGACATGCTCATTGTAGAAGTAGGTATTAGTAGCATTTTCCACAAATTTACAAGACTAACACCTTTAAAAAAAGAATGACGATAAGCATGACTAACACATGAGCCTAAAACAGACATGGTAAATCAAAGAGATATTGCATGGTGTTGGCAAACATGCCCATATGAATAGAAATAACGAATGCCATTTTTTATCTAGATAATCTGAAACATCACTTATTGAAAGCCTGAAAAAGACACTTTTCTTTTATTAATTAAATGTCCTTTGAACTTCTCAAACTTATGAAGAAAAGAAACATCTGGTTATTCTACTATGTGGCTAATAGCAATTTTCATGAAGTCATGATACCACTACATTTGTTAGCTCATTTCAATGATTAAGCAAAAGGCCACCAAAGAACATAAATTTAATAAATGTTATGTGGTGTTCTAAAACAAGACCTTAGAGATGGACATATCTTACAAACCAAGATTTCATCCTTCAGAAATCAACAAAAAGTTTACAAACCTTAAAGCCGGATCTCCGTATTGCAATTGCTACTGACCGGAACTGAGGATAATCTTTCAACTTAGAAACAACAAATGATCTCCCAATCTGTACAAGAACATCATAATCAGATGAATTTGAATGAGACAGACCAGAAATAAATAAGAAAAGGAATAAATATAAAGCAGGAGATTAAGTTTAGTAAAAAGAGATATCCAACACATCAATATGTTGTTTTTGTCAATGAACTGTAAAGCGGTAAGACATCATAACATTAAAAGTTCCATAAGAAATAAATGAACATACTGTTCTGCCCAGAAGGAATGCTGCTCCTGCGCCAACAGTTGCACCAATAGAATCTGCAATGAAGCCCACGGGCAATCCAAAAAGATAACCACCACCAAGCTGAAAGATGAAAAAGTGCCTTGTAAGATTACAATTTTATTCATTTATCATTTAATGCTTGGAAGGAGATTTCAATCCACAACTGAGCATTGTGGAGTAAAATATGTCACATAACAATAAGAAATTGAATAAGACAGATCACAAAAAAAGAAAACACAAAGTTAAGAGATCATAGAGATAGTTTACTATCACATTAACTGTAAGAATGCTAGAAAATCATAGATTACTTTCCTCCAATAAATGAGAAGCACACCTTTAGGGTAAAATATGGTTTGTTTTGCTTTTAATTTTCCAATAGGAAGTGTAGAATTTTACCAACAAGTATCAAGTTAACAAGAGCCCAAATTTACCATATCATTACTCTAGATGTTTATACATACTATTATTGATACTAACTATTGCAAGGGAACCTGCAGTCAAGATTCAGATATTTAGACAATGCTACCAATTCATATAAAGAAGCTAATTCTAGGTTTATTAACAGGTAATTAACTCTTGCATGTAGGGTTGACCAACAGCTGCCTAAAAGAGCTGTGCACAATAATCTGTATCACGCATTGACTAGAATTACTCATGCATTTTACATCCAAAATAGTAGAAAAAGGTAAGTTCCACTGGCATGGACACCATGTCAACTCAAGAAGAAATGCAGGAATCAGGATCATTACTCCATATCCCACAAGGAGGGAAAAACCAATGAGAAGTTAAAATGGCAAATGAACAAGAAAAAAGAATTGCATGATGTTACAAAATGGTAATAAATTTGGCTAACTGAAGCATCAGTTCAGGAATTTAATGCTTACTGTAAGCACTGAAGCTGGAACGGCCAAGACTGTCAATGGAATATAAGCAACAGCACTGCACATCAACAAGGTAAAAAATTCCAATACTTCAGAATTAAGTCATTTACAGCTAATCAATTCACCAGCAAACTCGGCAATTATCCACACCAATGCTTCAAATTTAGAGGTAATCTCATTACAATAAGAGGCTAAGATTGATACTCATCGAGGGGTATTCTATTCATCCAATGCTAGAGAACACATATGGTTACATTCTCCCCATGTTTCATATAAAGAAGTTGATCCAGTTTCCATTTATGTGTACACAAACATATTGCTTAAGACTGTAAGAACAAAGCAAAGTGTCAAACTTTCAACTCAGTTTGACAATGTCTAGACTATATGAACAATTTAAATTACATTTATTAAATTGATACATTAACAAAAAATTGATATCATTAAGCAAACAAAATAATAGATGCTCATTGAAAACGAAAAGATACCAGGGGCGTTTCAAGTGACTTACAGCACAAGAGGACCCCAAGGTCCAAGATCCTTTTCAACCCATAACAAAAAATCCTTCAAAATCTGCAAGAAAATCAACACACAGATTGCATCAAAATACACAAAGATTGTATCAAAATAACAATTGGCCTAAATACAGTTAAAATTTGGAAAGCTGGGGAGAATTGGAATCCCTAAGAATTCATGACCTTAGTTAATTTTGGATTCCTCCTCATAACTCTTGCCTTCTATTATTCCAACTTTGCACTTTGTAGTAATTTCAGAAATGGAATACAATTAGGTAAATACATTAGGTTCAAAAGTACGCTTGGTTGCAAATTAATCCAGATACCTATGAACAAAATCACAAAAATTGCACTTATGATCTCATGTCCTAAAAGTCAAGAGATAGGAGGTCATATACAAACAGCTCCGAATGAACCGCAAAGGTAATTCATTGGACTATAAAAACTTCACATTTCAAATCTTGAATCAATACAAACACCCAAAAATCCACAATTTATCAATCAAAAACTGAAAACAAGAAAAACCCATATTAGAAAAACCAAAAAGAAAAATCATAGAAACAAAAAAGATCAATCAAAAAGCAAGAACAAGATTACTCAGATTGAAAAAAAAAACCAACAAAATAAACAAAATAAAGCAAATTATCAATCAAATAGAAAAAACAACAAATACCCAGACGAGAAAACACAAAAAAAAAAAAAAATTATGAATAAAAGAAGAGAAAATAAAATTCACCCAGATCAAGAAAATGTGTAAATTGCAAGGAAAATCAAACCTTTTCAACAGGGAGGGTGAAACAAGCAAAAATAACAGCAGCAAGAAGAAGCAGAAGAAGAGTTATCCTGAGAGCAGAGCCCCAGGTGAAAGCCATTGACAACCTACGACGCCAAGGCCTACACTCTTCGTCGTCGTTGTTAGTATCGTAGATCGCGTGTTTCAACGATGAACGTGCCCTCAATCCTTCTATGGTTGCCAGATTTTGAAAAGTTAAAGAAAGCAACAAAAATGCAATACGGTCTTTTAGCTTTGAGTTCGGTTTTTCTTTCGTGGTTTTAGCCTAACAAACACTCAAAGATTTCTAGGTTTTTGTCTGATTGCTTTTATTTCAATTGTTTTTTTGGGGTTTTTGCTATTGAAAACGATAAATTGATTTGGATTTAGGCTCTGCAAGTGTGTAGGAAGCATCGTTTTTTTATCATTATTTTGTTTTATCGTGGGTAATTAAATTAGATTTTTTTTTTTAGAAAATTAATACTGTAATTTTGTTTATTAAATACATGTTTAAATGAAAAAGAAAAAAAAAAGAGTAACTAAAATTTACCAAAAAATCTCAATTGACCCGAAAAAGAAAAAAAATAGTTAAATTGGCGAGTTGTATTTTTTATTATGTGTGATGCTAAGTAGATCTAATAAATTTAAATAGTGATATAATAAAAAAAATAATACAAAAGAATCATATATATATATTTTTAAAAAATATATTTCATATTTATTTGTGTTTATACGAATTTTGATATAACACAATTCGAATATTATATGTATTAACATGTGTTTATACTGTAATTTTGTTTATTAAATACATGTTTAAATGAAAAAGAAAAAAAAAAGAGTAACTAAAATTTACCAAAAAATCTCAATTGACCCGAAAAAGAAAAAAAATAGTTAAATTGGCGAGTTGTATTTTTTATTATGTCTGATGCTAAGTAGATCTAATAAATTTAAATAGTGATATAATAAAAAAAAATAATACAAAAGAATCATATATATATTTTTAAAAAATATATTTCATATTTATTTGTGTTTATACGAATTTTGATATAACACAATTCGAATATTATATGTATTAACATGTTTATACACGTATAAAATAAGAAAAATAAGTTTAGATAAAACGTGTTATATTGATACATGTTTAACATATAATATAACACGAAATATATATTTAATTTAATTTGATCATACAAGTATACGTTTAGCATAATTTTTATATTTATTTTAATTTAATATAAACATATATAGATTATTTTAATTTTTAATCTTTTAATTATGATATTTAATTAGTTATTTAATATCATATAAAAATTATTTTAAATATTTAATTATTATACTTATTTAATAATTATTATAAAATTATTTTTTTATATTAATATTATAAATACAATATAAATATTAGTACTAATAATTTACATCATTATTTTATTTTTAAATCTTTAATAATTCACCATTTGAATTTGATACTAAAAACTAATATAGTTATGTAATATATATTAAATTTTAAATGTATATTAAATAGATATTAAATGAGTATCAAAGTGTTTTTATTTTTTTAATATGTAAATACTTTTTTATATTATTAATATACTAAGTTTATTAAGCTATAAATGATAGATAGTTTATAATTATTTATTATTTTTATTATATTTTTATATATATTCGTGTTAGTGATCTTTATTTGTGTATATCTATATTAGTCATATTTATTCTTATATATCCGTATTATTCGTGTTTATTAATGTCATATTTAAATGGATTAATTGTATGTGTTATCGTGTCATATCAAATGTAATACGTATTATAAACGTGTCGTATTCATATTTAATATTTAAATATATTTTATAATTTATGTTTTGTTCATATTTTAATAATTTGTATCATTATACATATCAAATATGACACGAAACACGATACAAAAATACGAATTATCAGGTCTAATGTTAAGCCAAAGAAACTAAGGAAAGTTCTTTTAAATTAGGGGTAAAGTTTCACACAAAATATATAAAGATATTATTTACCATATATGTTTTTTAATCTAATAAAAAATTTCACATCATTTTTTTTTTCTTAAACATCCATCAAAATCCCAATAAAAGAAAATTAGAAGAAAAAAAGGAAGGATTTGTTAATCGATTGATTTTTTTTCCAATTGATTAGTAAAATTGTAAATGTATGACATCAACAAAATCAAATTTATGGCGAAATCAGATAATGTAAACATTATATCTAAGCCCTTTTTTTACCTCATATTCTTTTCTAAATTCTCTTTACCCCTCTTTTCATTTCTATGTTCTTTTTTTTTTTTTATATTCTTAATTTTCTCATGCTTTTTTGCAAGCGAAACAAGCAAATTATTTCATATATACAATGCAAGTAAAAGTCTAGATCCTTAGCATCCCACATCGTCTTTTATACTGTTTAGCCAATGTTTTTTTCTCTTTTTTTAATGTGTTTACTTTTAATTTGTTTTACTTTTTTGACTCACCATTTTGAAAATGACATCATACATGTTTGCTTTGCTTATTGTTGTGTATGTACCTCAGAGTTAATCAATTGGTTAATGGACATAAAATTAAATTACACCAATTCACTATATTTTAGTGATTAAAAAGGTTCACCTTTATCAATAATATGAAGATAAAGAGTTATCGAGATACTAATATGATAAAACTCTAAAACATAATGGCCTTGCAAAGAAAGTGTAATGAGTTACAATTGTGATATCCTTATGTATCAAACCCATGTACTTAAAATTATTCTTTATTAGCATATTGTTAAGATTGAACATCAACAATGCTTAGAGACTAATGCATGTTAATTCTTCTTACTTATGAAATAAATAATCGATCTCATGGATTAAAAAATGGAGATACTTTCATTTGGTATTTCATTCAATTATCTATGAAAATGTTATCATGTGTCAATCATGTAAATAATCCTTAAATCTGAAACACTAAATCATCTTATATGTAAATAATCATATTTTGATTTCACATCTACAGGTCAAGGCACTTGATGCCTAAAAATTGTTCTTTTGGGTATGCTCTAAAACATATGATGGTGGATGAGTGATTAAGAGAGGATCCATCACTCAAGTCAAATGAGGGGACATATCTCATTTATTTTTTTGGCTTTAATTAACATATAAAGTCTTTGGCCAAAGCATGTTGATGATTTAAATGAAATAGTTTCATGCTAAATTCATACATGTTAACTAAGAATTGTAAAAACTAATATGAAAGGTTTTATTAGTAGACACTGCATCATGTTTACAGCCTTTCAGGATATATGATGAAAGGATCAAATTACGCTAATAGATTAAACACTAAAAACTATGATTAAGATTATCTTAATTCTTTCATATTTAGATGCTCATAATGCATTGCTAGATGCTGTTATGATATATGAATATATGTTAGTTTTTCTTGATCAATTTGATATTATATTTATTACAAATATTTTGGAAGCCTACTGGGTCACATATAAGGTAACATTGCTAAATTAAATTAGGATTAATCAAATAAGATGGATTTGATTGAAAGAAGCAAAAAAAAAAAAAAAAAAAAACAACAACAAACATTAAATTAGGGTTTTAAGATACATAATTGTAAAAGGTGCAAAAGTTACATCTGTATGTGCAATGGTTAAAATTTGAGAAGCACTATAAATACTTTTTTTATAGCCTTGGCTGAATATACAAGAGACTAGAGAAAACATAAGGCATTAAGAATTGCAAGATTGTGGGACAATCTAGGGTAAGCAACTAAACTAGTTTTTTTTTTTTTTTTTCGAGTTTTACAACACCTTATGTTTCTTTTGAAAAAAGTTATTTTTTTTCCTTTTTATTGATAACTTAAAACATTCGACCTAGATAGGGATTGGCTTTCCTATTGATTTGTGAAATTAAACACATGCTAGCACAAGATTAAAATCTCTCCCTGAAAAAGTTTCGATCAAAGTTGCAATATAGATCACCATTGGAGGCCAAACGCTTGGATGGCTTAAGTTTTGATCTCTTTCTTATTTTCAGACACAACTAAGGGTTGTTTCACTCATGATTATGAGATCTTTACAAGAACCACTTACAAGAGCTAATCTAAATTTAATCGAGGAATAGAGAGATACAGCCTTAACTAGGATAGATGCTTACCAACAAAATCTCAAACTACTACAATAAAAGGGTTTGTGATGAAAAAATATCTTTGAAAGAGACTTGGTCCTTAAAAAAGTTAAAGCATCAAGAAAAAATGGCTAAAGTGAGAAATTAGCATCAAATTGGAAATGACCTTGTATTATGAAAAAAGTTACCTAACCTGACACATAGATTGTAAGACCTAAATGGAGCCTCATCTTAAGGATATGGAATGAAAATAATGTAAAAGTTTATTATCAGTTGATTGGACAATTCTATAAGCACACAGGTCATTCAAGTAATAATAGAGACTATGAAAGTCTAGATATTGATTTCACGAGAATTAATTAAAGATATTTCTAAGCTAAGTACCTATTATTCTCATATTATTCTCAAGTTGATTCAATCAAAAAATATCCATGAAAAATTTAAAATTCTACTAAAAAATTTCAAGTAATCAATAAAACTAATTAAGAAATAAAGAGATGAAAAAAATGAACAAAATACAAAAGAAAAATTATAACTAGTCCTAAATGCAAGAACAAGTAATAGCTAAAATTAAATGCAAAATTAAAAATCATGAGTGAAATGCAATTAAAAAATTTACATGAAAAAAACACATAAATTCTAAAACTAAGGAAAATGGAAATAACACTACATAGAGCTTGGAAATGACGCCTAGCATGATCATGAAATTAAAGCTAAATGTTGCAATTATACCTAAAGTTAAGTATGAAGAAGTTCTTGAATCTAAACTGAATTTGAAGCAATTATTAACCAACTTATATAAACACATGATCTAAGAATAATGACTAAAAATAATGTAAAAAAAAAAAGTCAAACAAGCATAATTGCAACAAACAAAAAACGGTAAACATAAACTGTAAATAAATTTTTTATTTCACGATTTGGACTTCTAATGCACAACTAAAACTACACCTAACTTGGAATATTTATGAAAAAATAAAAGATTAAATGCAAAATAAAGTCGAAGAAGAAAACATGTAAAAAATTACACAAACAGTGCAAAAAAACTAACTCCAAATTTGATTTGTGCTCAAACCATATGAATATTGCAAAAGAAAAAAAAAATTAAAGATGTGATCATATGTTGAAAAAGAACTTCATCTAAGCTAGAACAACTTAGATCGATTGGTTAACTACCTAAATCAATAAGAAAATAACATAAATCAATAAAAAAAAATTAGCTCAACAAACTCAATTTCTAAAATAGTGCAAAATTTGAAAAATCAAAACATTATCTAAGAAATTGATCCAAACAGCAATGAAATGCAAAGAAATAA